GAGAATTTTTTGTGGTCAAAACAAGAGAGTTTGCAAAACTTTTAGCCTTAAAAGTCTGTCACGTGTAGCAACCAAACAAGATGCCAGAATTAAATGCTTATTTAAACGACGATAAACCCTATAAACCCTCAAATGAATTTATACAGGGGAAGAACTCAATGTTATCTTAAGGTYTGTCTAGTCTATTCTAGTATTGAAGCCGTTCTTACCTTATAATAGTCGAAGTTTCTGTCAACGCCCTGACTTCTCTCGACTCGCCATCTTGTTTCTTCTTGTCAAAGGGACCCTGAAGCATGATGGGTACACGTGCCTCATTACCACAGGAAGCCCATGATATGTTTTATCTTGAAGACACCATGCTTGGATAATGGATTAGCAAGTACCTATTTATAGAAAGCTTATCACATCAATTTATCAATTATAGAATAGACATTGATCTGCAGGTCAATGCAGCGGAGAGCTCAGAGTTCAATCCATCATATCYTTCTCATTTATCTATTTTATCCATTTCACCCATCCATCCGTCCATGATCCATCCRTCTTATATCTATCTCATCTTAACTATCCATCCGATCTACCTCACCCATCCACCCTATCTCATCCATCCATCCATTAATCCATCCATCCATTTCATCCGGCATTTATTCATCTCATCCATCCATCCAAAAATTTACCAGCCCAAAACAAAAGTTTTATCAGTTACTTTTCAAACATCATGTTTCCTTATACCAAATATACTGGTCAATTAAAGGTAAAAAGGTATAAATGGTAAAGGGATAAATTTATATAGTGCTATTTTCAGGAGCGCAATGGCACTTTACAAGATCATTGGAGGACTTTACGGGCTGCATGTCAAGGCAATAGTAGCAGCCGTGCAGCTTACAATCATGAGTGATTTTTTGGTATGTTATTATAATGCCTCCAGATTGGGATAGGCCGTTGAACYGGGAGACAATCCCCTACTCTTACACGAATAATTCAACAGATTCTTTTATGTCCCCCATTTTTATTGCAGTTTAGGAAGGGTTGGGAGACAGGGCCTACGATTTTAAGTCCTTATCTAAGAAAAAGACAGACATCTTGACATCTAAACAGACTAAAGTATCTTGAAAACAGCCCTATAAAGTCAATGTGTGGGGAGGGAGGGCTGTAAAAAAAGGGTGTGGTCCATTTTTTTGTGCTTCAAATAAAGTGTGGCTCAGGAGAAAATAAAGCCTCATTAGGGCTGGCTCATAACTTTTTTGAGAAATCATAAAAATAAAAAAATCAACATGTGAGTTGAGAGTCGTATATATAAAAATGTTAAATTGTTGGAAACTGACCAGTATGCATACACTGAATTTATATCCCACTATAAAAAAATAAAACCTACTAGTGGTCTATCACAAATCCTGTGCTCTGATTGGCCCACCTACTAGTGGTCTATCACAAATTCTGTGCTCTGATTGGCCCACCTACTAGTAGTCTATAACAAATCCTNACTAGTGGTCTATCACAAATTCTGTGCTCTGATTGGCCCACCTACTAGTAGTCTATAACAAATCCTGTGCTCTGATTGGCCCACCTACTAGTGGTATATTACTGATAGATCAATAGTTTGAGCTAAAAGTGCCAGTTTGGAAAACCAAAACGATGCAAAACATATTAACATATATTTATCATATTATACATTTTTTGAAACATGCACAATTTTCTGGAAGTGAAATATAATCAATGAAAATCATGCTTTAAAACAGAGTTCTGGGTTTACTTTTTTTTAATTTATTTTTTGCAAGTCTTTGAGTGCATGCACTCTTATACCAGAGGTCCAAGAAATACTGGTCTAAAAAACTGATGGATTATGCCAGAGCCCTCATTCTTCGTCACAGGCCAGAAGAAATGCAGGCTCTAGGTACGAGATTGTCTTATCAGCTTCAAAATGTTGTATGACAATAGAGTATATTATTCACATAGATGCCTGCGCACTAACATTGATGACCGCACGAACATAAACACGATGTCTGATACCTAATTCTTGGCTTTCACCCGACATCATGAAAAGACAAAAATCCAAAGTACTCACTCCACAAAACTGTTTGTCGAATATTCTGTTTACAGCGTTAAAAGAAAAGCTTTGCCAAAATACTTGTGTATTTTCGATGTTTGGTTTTAGATTTATTACGAATCAAATTCTGTAACGCAATCAGTGTCACGCATTTTCAAAGCATTAGGAATAGGGAAATTCGATTGATATAATACATTTTCATTTTAGTAGATGATTGTTAACTTTATTTCGATAATTATTATTATTAAACTAATTAATTGGGATCAATAGAAACATGATTTTTAACTTTCGTGATTTGGCCGCCATCTTTGCGCCCCTCTAGATAGGACATCAAGATGGCGGACCCATACCGTGTCAACTAAGTTATGGGCATAATCAATCGCTCGTATCTCCGTATCTAAAGCTTCTCTTAGCTACAATTTTGGCTGAGATAAACAGTTTTAGTTGCTCTTTCGGTGTGTGGAGGTTTTGTCGTATATAAGTCTTTGGAAATTTTTCGATGACGTTGTTGAAAGCCAAGAATACTGTAATGACCTCATGGTATAAATTGCTTGAGTTAATATGTCGATAAAAAGGCAATAAAAAATGAACCATACGGAAAAAACTATTGGAACTACGGAAAAAATGGATTTCCATCGAACATATTAAATACGACAGAGCGAAAAGGCGCAAAAACCAAAACGTGACAATAATGCTTTACTCATGCGATAGGCATGTTGACAAGAACAAAAAAACACCACGCAAATATCCAAGTGCTTCAAAATAAGAATAAACATGGCGTCCGCGTGAGAAAAAGGCCAACTAAACGAAATATATACTTTGGATATTATTATAAAGCAAATACTTAATCCAATCTCATAACATATTCACATAAATACATTATATATCCTTACACAGTTCCTTCCATTGTTGACATCTGCGTCACTTTTGGGAAAGCAAATGCCCCAAAACTAATGCATCAAACATCTTAGACTTGTTCAGATTTCTTGTCTTTAGTCCTTGTTTGATTGCGATAGATTTTTATCCTTTCTCCGCTGAGGTATCATCACTTTTCCTTGTCTGAACCAGTTGTTGTAGGAGGTATTTCCTTGCTTCCTTCAAAACTTCTAGCGCGATGTCGTCTTTCATCGATAAGATTCGCTGCATTCGCTACACCAGATTCAATCACTCTTTCCTTATGAATYGACTCGAAGTCTGTCTTTTCTTGGTTTTCTGAATCTCCTTCACTTTTAGCGTTTTGGTCAAGCCACGGCGATTCTTTGATTTCCTTTTGTTCTGCTTTGCTATCGATAAGATTCGCTGCATTGGCCACACCAGATTCTTTCGCTCTCGCCTTGTGAATAGTCGCAAGATCCGTCTTTTCAGGATCCCCAAATTTTCCCTCTTTCTTTTCCTTTGGGCCAAGCCAAGGGGGCAGCTCACCACTGACTTCTCTCCCCAAGTTTTCCTCAAACATACTGGTCCATATCGCAGCTTGCTCGTCTTTATTCTCGGAGCACATCCTCTTGTAAACCTTTTGATAATCTTTTCTGGCATCGCTCACTCTTGAATCCATGGGCAAAGGTTTGTCTTCCGTTATTAAAGTCTTAGACTCGTGTTTTCGTTTTATCGACTCTGTGTCTGCCATGGCTAAGTGTACATCTACAGGATCTGTTTGTTAGAATGTTATCTGTTTCCGTGTTGTGAGACGATATGAAAAGGTCGATCCAGATGACAAGCCAGCTGCCCGTGAAATCACTTACCACAGGTAGCCCAAGCTCTGTAGGCACATGCTAGTAKGGTCTCGTGGATTCCCATTTTGGCCAAATCCTATAGCCTATATTTTGTTCAAATATCAATCCAATTCCTATTTCTGATTGTTTTTTAGGCTTGTGAATCCCATTCCCATTGCATGAAATCCTATATTCCCAGCCCCCAAAGAGGCGAATCCCAGCTCTCATTTTCACCCTTCAGGATCCTCTGATAGAAGAGCTGTAATATACTAAAAGCAAAAAAGCCCAATTTATACCTCGGGCATTTCTTTGAAAGCCCGAGTAACAAGAAAGTTGACAAGTCACATTTGAATTATACCTAATAGTTCTTAGTCTTTTATTTTATCGTCGGGGAAGGTCTTTCTAGTAAAATTTGAGCGGCCTTTTGAAATATTTCAAGTCTGAAAAGATTGATCCGTCCCATCCCTCTTCACCGTTTTTATTCAGCTTCAAGGGCTTGCACTTTATCGTTAGTAAGACTACGCGCGAGTGTAAAACTACACACCAGTGACCACGGGTGACCACAGGTGGAAGTCAAATTAAGTGACAGGTAAAGTAAGCCTTGCCACCACGTTGATTTATAAATATTAATAAAAATAGGTTCCCTTGTTTGTCACCACGCTACATCTTGCTAGAATACGGAATGGGGCCTAAGAATATATAATGACCGAGGGAGCCTAAGGTTTTGGCGTCGCCGTTCACAATGAGCCCGGCTTTCTGTCTTTCACGTCGTTTCTTTTAGAAAGGCATCTTTGCTTTTTATGGGTTTCCTGTGGTTTGAGATTTACCCTGTAACCCAATCTGTAATGTAAAGTTGATAGAGTATTAAGAGAGAATTCTTTTCGTATTCAAGCGGTGAGCGCCAAAAACTATTTTCTTAAAGAAGGGCTGTTGTACAAGGCTAAAATCTTGTTATTCAGAAAGTTTAACTTGTTTGGAAGTGGAGGTGAACGATGAAAGTGGAATCAAAGTGTTAACCCAAAGCAAAAATTTGAATCGAAAATGAAGTTTAGGCCTTCATTAAATTCAAATCAATAACCATTAGTAACGCAATCTTCTGTGAACAGTCAAAGAATAGACCTAGCTAGCTTTCTTTCAGTTTCCTTCCTTCCTTCCTTCCTTTTTTCGCTGCTTACTGCAAAGTGCGTCACATCCAAACACAACAGGCAACACATAAACGAACCGATCTCAAATCACACGAAGTCAAGCTCAAACCACCGGAATCGAACAAAAGAAAGCTGGGTTAATTCCCTGACGCCTTCCTTGATACTTGTCGATGCGTATTTTCAAGTCTCTGATAGGTCTGTAGAATGTCACTTAAATTATCTGATCATGACCTAGCACGTTCAAGGGGTTAAATGGACGGAAGTCTGAATATGGTGTCTGATAGGAATCAAGGACTTTCGTTTATTCTCGACTTTCACATCCCCATAATGCCTTGCGTTTTGGGGGGTAACCAATCAAAAAACTGTCCCAAATTGAAAGGTTTCTTAATTGAATTTATACTATACCTGCTTTTATCTG